AACCTGTTCCAAGTGATGGAAGTGTCTCGAATCGAAAACCACTGAAAAATTTAGTCTGTCTTAGTTGTGCATCAAAATCCGGGGCCAAACCATGGTCCGCGCATACCGGATATCATATGAATCAAACAGATGCAACTTCCGAAGATGCATACAAATGCAATCAAAGTGCTATGGTCACAGATAGCGGAATCGGATGTCAGCAAATGTCGTTTGAACTTCAAGTCCCTTATGGTCGAATCAACTCGGCCGGGACTACAACCTCCGGGTCTTTCTCGTCAAGACAAACAGTATTTACCAATCCCGATTCACAACATCCGGGCGCACCGATATCCTCACCTTCCATGGGGCTACGGGAGACGGGGAGACTAGGGATAAAAAATCATACAGAATCCGCCGCCGGTGGAAAATCGTCGGTCTCGGTGGATGGAATAAACGAAAAACCCACCTGTTGCTGTACGATTTGTGGTCTACCAATATTGTCCAACCAATTACGAGGTGCCCAGTCATATCAACGCATAAACGAGAATTGCGTCTCCAGTGACTCGGGTATCTCATCCAGCGTGCACGAGGCGGCCGACTATCGAGTCGCAGTGAAAGTAGAATCCAATCGACAACCGAGACAAGTGCTGCGCATGGAAGTAGCTGTACTTCGCAGATTGCAAGGAAAACCGAATGTGTGCACCCTGTTTGGATGTGGGCTCCCTCCCCGGTTCAATTACATGGTGCTGAGTTTGCAGGTGAGTNGGGGGGGGGTGGATTCAAATCCAGCTTTTCTCCTTAACCCCATGTGTTGTTCGGCAGCTTTTAGTTTCAACTAGAGGATCAAAAGTTATAAAACTCGTTTGAGCGATTTTAGTACTGTTATAAATAATTATATCATCAGCAATAACAGTTGTTAGCCACGCTCCTCCTTGTGCCGGTTTCAGTTGCTGTCTATTTATATGAAGATGCAAAGCGAGGATTGGGATGTTCAAATCAGTCTCCGGGTGAAAATAGAGAATTCAAGAGGACTATGAGCAAATGCAAGAGCGCCTCTGTTTGCGATATACAGCCATGATACTTAAGTCTCTAATCACCGGTTGCACTAACCTACAGTTGCACATTTGTCTGTTTAAGAGACTGCAAACAAATTATACACTTGTAAAGTACAGTTTCAGTACCTCTCGGTCTGCAGTTGTATGATTCCATGTTAAGAATTTCATGATTTCTAGTCAAATGCTTCGAATGGCTCCCCATAAACCCCATTGCAAAACGAATCATTGATGCTAAAGCTCGAAAACATAATCGTAGGATAGACGTCATCATAAAATACAGTTAGTGGTTTAAAGCATATGTTAGTTTTGATCGATGTTAGTTCCAGATTTACGATACAGACTGATGGCTTTTACACTCTGATTAATTGAAAACGTGTTCATTTTTTCTCTCTCTCCTTCATCCAGTAATATCAAGCTCTGCGTAGAAGAAGGTGAGATGAGTACACAACACGAATAGGTTATGTGCACAATTAAAGTTGTCTAAATGTTCGGTAGGGAAGTAAACATTTGATTTTTCTAAAATCAAATGACAGCCAATTCGGTTATTACCAAGGCACTAAGCACTTGTGTGATCAGATTGTGTTCTCATTACTCGTTGTTCTTTTCAAAGTGATTCCCGAACTTCTTTCATTGTTCTACCTTTTCTCTATACTGAATAACGTGAATAACGTACATTCGACCACAATGTATTTTGATGCCGTCCCTCCTTTGGGGCTGTGCCGAAAAAGTTTATGTTTTCCTACCCTTAGTAGAAGGTGCATTTCAATTTACTTAACTTTCTTGCCCGAGCGGTCTTCATCATCCGGGTTTTCTTCTCTCTCTCCCTTCAACGTGTTGAACATGATTTAAGCGATGCATGTAAGTATAAGAGGATTTGATTCAACTTCATAGAGGGAATTCGTCGTATATAGAGTAAAATCAAGACGAAACAGCTGAACAGTGAGTGCTTCCTAGCTTTTCACTTCACTCTTCGTTTGCTCTATAAACGACAAATTTCCTCTATGAAATGTTAGCAGCATCCTACGGGAATGGTAGTGTTGGTGTGCTCTCGGGCAATAGATTATGTGATTTAGAGTAAGAAGAGTTATTGTTGAGTGAGTGTTCAACCTCTGGTGATAAACCTGTTTGCATAGCTCGGTCTGGCATACTTTCAGGTTTAGATTAACACTGCACCGAATGCCGCATTTAGATGGAGATTCAATAAAGAGTGTTTAAAACCACTGCTATTTCGGTGAACAGTGTGAGATAATCGGATGCACACACGGTATTCTGTGCGAACACCGGCTTGAGAACAAGCATGATGTCAGTAGGACAACAATGAAAATGGAAATTGATGTGTGCGTGAAAACGAGGTGGACGAAACCGAGAAGAAACGAATAACACCGAACACATTCTGATGTATTTTTGTCACCGCATGTTGCGCCAGATGGATGTGTTATACGTATCGCCGAATGTTCTCCCTGAACGTTCGATGTTTGTCACGACAAGTATTGTTTGGACCAAGACCAAGGATGTTTCAGATTATGACACCATGGAAATCAGGACAAGGGAAGGTGTAGCGAGGAGTAGATCGTACTTCATAGTTGGGAATACCATTACCAACCTAATCAATAGTTAATGTCATACGGTGATTTGGTTGAAAAGCGCAAATAATCGGGCTCATACACTTACTCATTTTCTGCGCAATTCTATTTTAATTGCGTTCTGCATTGCTACCTTGGTACAGTTGTTTGCTCTAACATCTTTCCTAAATTCTGATTGGCATTGGCCAACTGAAATTCGCAGCCTAGAACAATGACCCAAACCAGGTCATGAGACCGCTAGGGTTAATGGTGTGTGCAAACCAATTTAAACTAAACTCAACTGAATTCCACCTCACATTTCACACGAAAAGACAACGTGAGTGTATGCCATGGTGTGATTTACGCGGGCGCGCACGCACACACGCACATGCATCAAATTTCGGACGAGGAACCATAGGATCACTGATAAATATGTCAAAGTATGATCTAATAAAAAGTTACGGAAATGAAAAATTGAGGAGTGTAGAAAGCGGAGAGAATGTCAAAAGAAAAAGAGTGTAAACAGTACCGGAAAACTGGACAGCTGTTTGTGGAAGGTGATCAAAGTCTTCTCGGAATTACTCAGGTGTTAACACCATATCATCACCGTCATTTTTGGTACACTTGCATAGATGAAAATAGTGTATTGCGTGAATGTATAGGAAAAGAAATGATCTATGATGATTGTGAAAAGCCAAGGCATTTATATGATGTACTGTACTGTAATGACTTGTACAAGCAACTATGACTAAATTTCAGTGTTCATTGTTACATCGGGATAAAGTTGATGAAACTGTCATTTACAAAAACTGAAAAACGTAAGTAGAAGAAAACTATCTTGGTATGAGGGTAATGGAGGATTCTATTTTATTAAATGACGAATTCTTCGTGTAAATTGAATGTGAGGTGAAAAGATTGGAAGCATTGGACAGCTGTTTCGGTCTGACTGGGTCTCATCAGTAGTGCGAATCCATCGACTCATTGGAGATCGTGTGTATTCAAAATGAGAAATGATCCGATCAACTACCCGGTGACCGAAGGGATAGGATGCTTACTTTCTACTGATAAGATCCAGAGTTCGATCACAAATTGGGTCGATGGATTCGCATTACTGATGAGACCCAATCGCGTCGAAACAGCTGCCCAGTACTTCCAAGTTTTTCAATCCAAGCCTCATTCACACGACAAAATCATCATCAAATATGCTTGGTAGGTCGAGTTCAAGTTCGGCAGCTAGAATATGATATGAATGGGGTACTTTTGACTTACGCTAAAGGTTTATGCGGGTTGCTAAACAGAAAAGATGCGATCTGATTGTGGCATGGAAAAGACAAGCAGGTAGGTCGGGGCTAAGTGGATGGCTGGGGTCGTTACGAATCGTGTATGTGAAATCCTCAAGAGATGTTCTATGAATATGACAAAATTTTGTGATCAAAATGTTTATGAGATTAAGAGAAACGCGCCCACTAATTGCTAAGGAGCAGAGAGGAGAAATGAAAGAATTTCTAGGTAAGTATCGAACATACATTGGGGCAGAGTAAAGTATGATGAGACAAAAGCACCATATTTTTTGAAAAATAACCTGACGCCTTTATTGACCCCGAGAGTCATCACTAACTATTCTATGTTCTAATCCAACTACGTACAAACGGTTTAGTGCAAACCGTCAGCAATTCACGATAAATTGTAGTGTTGTATGTTAGAAAACCAACTATGAATTACACTCATTGCCTATATAAAATGGGAGTAAAACAAAAAAACGAACGTTTAAAGAAACACCGAATGTTTTTCACAGGCAGCTCGTGAGGAATAGCATTATGGATAGAGAACTAGAGAGTGAGTGCACGTATGTCGTAAATTGTGCTGCCATTTTGATTTTTTCCCACAGAGTTAACCAGTGACGTGCACATTACGCAAGAGTAAAGATTACCAGACCGCAGTTGAAATGCACCTAAATCTCACAAACCTAACTCGATTTGAACGCGGCAATTGTAAACAAATAATTCAAACAACTATTCAGAAACACAAAGTGATCATTGCTAACACATTACTTTCCTGTGAGGCTGCACACGTCCTTTTGCTAGCACATCAGTATTTGAAGATGATTTTGGGGCAAATCAAAGTTCTAAAGGAGACAAAATGTCTTGTAATTTGATATTCACAAAAACTAGTCCACGGTTATGTAACACGTATTATAATAACTATGAAGCACATTTGATTCGGTCAGTTTTGTCGGCGATATCCCTTATATTGACAACGATCCATTCGAAAGTAATAATGAAATGCATGAAGAACGAAAAACCGCCATCCTTTACCAGCTAATAGGACATGTGATATAATGGAAAGCCGAGCTGCTTTTGGTCCTTTTTAAACACCACGTTAGTGCCTATGCGAATCATTTGCCGCTAATCATTTCATTAACTAAGCACAACTAGACTTTTGCTCTGATTTTTTCTCGAGCGGATGCGTGATTTTACGAGAATCATCGGTTTGTCAACAACCGATAAAAAACGCAAGGTCAGTCAGCATAAAACAATACAGATTTATACAACTTCGTCCAAGCCCTAACTGTCATCAACCTTTTCGCCAAGTCGCTATATCGTGCCAATGGACGACAAAATTGTATCGTAAAACAATCTGAGGAATGTGAAAAAGCGAGTAAGTGAGTTTAATCGAATTAGGCACATGCAATCCACACTGATATGCGCAGCTGAATCAGCATCGAGGACTGTTCGTAAAGCATCCACCCCGCTAACCCCACAGCGCTTCAAATGTCTCTGTCCTGTCTTTGCTCGCGATTGTATATATACACACACACGCCTAAAGTGAAATGCACACAGGACACAGTGGCGTTTCGTGATACACAAATGGAAGTGACCCGGAAAAAAATCGCGCATAAATTTGGTCACCATGACGTCGAACTGAAAACAAAAGATGACACTAAAATTCTCCTGGCACCGTATTCGTGCCACTCTCAGCCTAATCATCATGAGCATCCGCCTCATCCTCATCCCCGTGTTTACCATTCTCGTCCTAATCACCAGCGCATTATTTGAGAAAACCACTATCTCGTGCAGGATTTATCAATCGGAGCGTCAGACCAACCCAACCTTCTTTGTATTGAGTTAATTACATGTGGGTATGAAGAGTGATGTAAATCGAAAAAATGAAGGAAATTCAGAATAGGTTTGCTGTACCGAAGTTTCGGCCACAGCTTGAATGGAACTGTAAACGTCCGCGTTTGTTGTGCCAATTTGTACGTGAAAAATTGCCTAAATAACAACTCCATTTCACTGTGTAGGCCTGTAT